GGCCTGCTGCTACCTGCTGACTCCCTTAAGGTGCAACCATTGATGATAAAACCTCATGCGGTATGCAAGTTGTGTCAAGCAGGGTCTCAGTGAGTCACTAGGGTGGGAAGCATTGTGGTCACCAGGTTAATGTAGACCCTGGTTTGGTACGAGTGCTGAGCCTGGAGCTACTCAACAAAAGTTTCAGAGACACTGAGGTCAGTTGCTCCCCATTGAGGTTTGATATTTTTCCAAGAAAGAGTACAATGTCAGCAGGGCTAGCTGTTGATGAGAAAGTGCCCCTGGCCTTGGGGTATTTGGGTGTGGTGGGGTCTCAGTGGGGCTCACCAGGCCAATCAGATTCAGATTTGGCCTTTGAGGGAGGGCTTAACCCAGGAATGATGGCACCTGCCATGCTGGCTGCTCGGGAGTAGGCCCCCTCACAGGGAAAATGGCAACTGTCCTCCAACCATTGCTTTGAAGTCACACACATCAGTCTTCCCCTTGTATGTCTCCGACTCCCCTTGAGTCACTGTTCATCTGCTTGAGCCCAGAGTGAGTGCCTATGAGTGAGTGAGTCTGTGCACGAGCTGTTTAAGAGGACAGCTGAGTTTCTTGCAGCCTTCCGTCCCACCCAGGTGGTCAGAATCCCCACTGTTATTCACAGCCAGATGCTGTGGGGTTCCTCTTCCAGGCACCAGTACTCCTGAACTAGGAAGGCTGGTGTGGTGTTGGGTTTCCTCACTCCTCTGGGGGGCACCTACATGGCTGAGATATCCTCTTGATTCTCATCTGTTGTGGAGGTTTGGGGCCAGCCTGTTTCAGGTCTCTGCCCCTCCTACTAGTGTTGATGTGGCTTCTTTATATCCTTAGTTATAAAACTTTGTTCAGCCAGACTTTATGTGGTTCTCCAACTTGATAGTTCTATAACTTAGCTGTACTTTTAATATCTATTGATTGAATTCTTTGATGCACGAAAGTTTTTAAGTTTGTTTTAGCCCCATTTGCCTATTTTTGTTTTTGTTGCCTGTGCTTTTAGTGTCATATCTGAGAACTTTTTCCAAAATGCAATGTAATGAAGTTTTTCCCCTATGTTTTCTTCTAGGGATTTATGGTCTTAGGCCTTATGTTTAGATCTTTAATCCATTTTGAGTTAATTTTTGTATGTGGAGTAAGGTAAGGGTTCAACCTCTTTCTCTTTCATGTGGATATCCAGTTTTCTCAACACCATTTATTGGAGAGAATGTCCTTTCTCCTATTGCTTGGTCCTGGTATCCTTGCAAACATCATTAGGCCATTATAGATGAGGGTTTATCATTAGGCTCTCTATTCTGTATCATTGATATATATGTCTGCATTTATGCCAGTCTGATAGTGTTTTAACTATCATATTTTTGTAATGCATTTGAAATCAGGAAGTATGAGACCTCCAACTTTGTTCTTTTTTTTTTTAAGAGTGTATTGGTTATTTGGGATCCTTGAGATTCCATATGAATCTTAAGATACTTTTTAATCTATTCCTGCAAAAATTGCCATTGAGATTTTTTTAGAGATTTTGATAGGGATGGCATTGAGCAAAATGGGCATTTTAACAATATTAAAGTCTTCCAATTCGTAAACATGGATGCCATTTCATTTGTTTGTTTAGTTTCTTTCAGCAATATTTAGTTGTCAGTTTATAAGTCTTTCACCTCCCTGGTTAAGTTTCGTATTTTATTCTTTATGAAGTTATTGTATATGGGATTTTAGAACAATTTCTTTTCTGGATTGTTTATTGTTAGTGTATGGAAACTCAACCAATATTGTATGTTGATTTTGTAACTTTGAACTTAGTTGAATATGTTTATTAATTCTAACAGTTTAGTGTGTGTGTGTGTGTGTGTGTGTGTTTGAAAATTTTATGGTTTTCTACATATAATATCATGTCTTCTGAAAATGAGATAACTGTGCTTCTTCCTTTCCTTTTTGAATACCTTTTATATCTTTTTCTTGCCTAATTGCTATGGCTAGGACTTTCAGTGCTATGTTTAGTAGAAATGGCGACAGTGGAAACCCTTCCCTTGTTCCTCATCGTAGAGGAAAATCTTTTAGTCTTTCACCATTGAGTATGATATTAGGTATAGGCTCGTCATATATGGCCATTATTATGTTGAAGTAGTTTTCTTCTTTATAGTTTTTTTTTCTTAGTGTTTTTATTATGTAAGGGTGTTGAATTTTGTCAAATTCTTTTTCTATGTTAATTGAAATGATCATGTGGGTTTGTCCATTCTGTCGATGTGGTGTACTTCACTGATTGATTTTTGTAAGTTGAACCATCCTTGAATTCTAGAAATAAGTCCCCCTTGGTCCTGGTGTATAGTTCCTTTAATGTGCTGTTCAATTTGGTTTGTTGAAGATTTTTATATAAACATTATTCAAGATTATTAGTTGGTAGGTTTTTTTTTTTTCTTGTAGTATTTTTGTCTGGCTTTGGTATCAGGGTAATGCTGGCCTCATAAAATAGTTAGAAAGTGTTCTCTCTTCAATTTTTGGACGAGCTTGAGGAATATTGGTATTAATTCTTCTTTAATTATTTGATAGAATTATACATTGAGGCTATCTGGTCCTGGGCATTTCTCTATTCAGAGGTTTTTGATTACTGATTTCATCTCCTACTACTTATAAGTCCTTTTATTTATTTTAGATTTTTTGTTTCTTCATGACTCAGATTTGGTAGGTATGTTTCTTGGAATCTGTCCATTTTGCTCTAAACTCTTGACCACCATCTCTTCTCATCTGAATCTGGATTACTGGAACCCATCTTTGTGGGTTCTCAAGAGCTCTCTTTGTAAACCTCTGTGGATGGGTTGGTAAGGGTCATCAAAGAGGGCATCCAATCTTGTGAGCAGTTACCTTACTCACAGAGGTACAATAACTCTTAATATAACAAGCTCAATGTTTTTCAAAGGATACCATAGAAGAGCTACCCTCATAGAAGAAGAAGTGCTGCTTTTTCCATTTCTACCCTGTTGGACTTATATAAAGTAGAAAGTTTTAGACTTTTGGGTCTAAAATAGATATGTTGAATATCTAAAATGAATATCTTAAACAAATGTTAGAGTAAAATTTTGAAGATTTTCTCCTGTATTAAGTGAGGGTATTATAGATTATGTTTATATTCTAAATCCCTAAGGAGAAAAAATTATGAAAAGTGGATCCTCAGTCCAAATATGCTAAACATTTGTTGAGTGGTCACCATACTTACGGAGATTTTTTTAAAACATGAACTTGACTACTGAACTAATAATCTAATCTTGAACATGTATAAGTTTGATTGGGAGGTGGCAAAGTTAGAGTAGCTACAGAATGGTGGTGGCATTTAAAGCAAGAAAGTATGGCAAGCTGAGTGCAAATTTACAGTCATTAATAGAAAAATAAGCCAAGGTCGTTTGAATACTCCAAGGCAAGTGTATGTAAAAAAACAGCACATTAGGTTCTATGCAGGCCCCAGAGTCTTGGAGTCAGTACAGCTAGATGATATACTTTTATTGAATTTAACTGACTGACCTTTTTTCTTTCCCTTGCGACTATAAAATAATATAAGAATAGAATAAAGAGTTTGAGGTGACTGATAATTCTGCTGTGTTTTCCATAATAAATTAGGAAGCACTTTTTTTAAAATTCAAGGGACTTTATATTTGGCAACATTTATCTAATCAACTAGGTTTTTTTTAACCTTCATTTTTCTTTCAGCTCAAGAATTAGCTTATGGCAAAGAGATTCTTATTCCAATAAACTTTCAGATCTGCCTTACATATTTAAAATTCTCAACTGAGTCACTGTTGTAGGGCTGAATCATATTATCTGGGACTCAGTGTTGTTTCAATGAATAGCATGAACCTCTAAATTCTGGTGAGGAAAAATATCAAAGTTCATTATTGTATGAGGTGTGGTCAAAACATATAGTGAATGTTTAAATGGAAAAAATGTATTACAATGAAAGACATATTGCCATTAATCCACCTCAAGATTACTCCCCCTCTCTTCAGACAAACGTATCCCATTATTCTTGCCACTGTCCTTTTATTTTGCTCTGGGTCAAGGACTGTATTTCCAATTGCAGGATATAATTGGATATAAATGTGTATTGGATGAAAAAGAAGTATTAGTGAAGTAAAATATTCAAAAGGGCCTTTTTAAAAAGTTCTATTTAAAAGATTTTCTTGCTATATCTCTGTATTTCGAACATGTATCAGCTCTTACTACCTTATGTGTAAAAACTTTTTATTTTCAGAAATGAAGTATGTTAAGCTGAATTTTGCTGGTGTTAACTGATATTCTTGAAAGAAGCCAAGTTTAAGTTTTGGGAGATGTCTGTTATGTCTACTGATGTGACCTGTTTAGAAAACTGGTCATCGTTTTTCTTCTTTTTATGTACATGTAGGACGTTTATCTGTGTACCAGATGTTAGATACCTTTAGATCCCCTTGGGATTATTAATTTATTTTTTTCTCTTCTAAATGTGCTTTATAATTTTTTTTGTTTTGTTATTACATCAATTTGTGTTTTCAAGGATAAAATTTGATGAGTATTTAATCCATAAAGCAATTTCCACATGTCAAATTCTATATATCTATCCATCTACTTACACATCTACTTTTGCTTTGATAGAAATATTTAACATGGAATCACTTTTAAAATGTTTTTATAGGCTTTGGAAATATCTTTTAAAGCAATAAGATGATGTGTGAAGCATTAAAAACAAAAACTGTGTCTAGTAATTGCTCCCGATGGCTAGTAAATGAATTAAAGATGTGTGCTAACTGCAGCTGTAATGGCATATATTTAAAAAGGAAATTCAATTTGCTACTTCTAAAAAATGGCTGTTGGCAAAAAACCTAAAGTAAAAATTCAAAAAAGAGATATTTGGTTTCTGGAAAATGTGTTAGTTCTGTTACCATTTACAATGATGGATATCCATGGGTCTTTATAGTGTGAAATAAACTCTGATCAACTATATTGCTGTCTTTTCTTTATTACAGTGTATGCCAATTAAAGGTCTAGGATTTGTGCTTGGAGCTTATCAGTGCATTTGCAAAGCAGGATTCTATCACCCTCAAGTCTTCTCAGTGAACAACTCTCAGAGTAAGTGCTCTTTGCTTCTGTGTTTATCTGAATATACATAATATCTATCATTATTAGTTATTCAGGTCCTCTTCTAACTTGTTGGGGTTACATTCTTTCATAACTTAAGGAGTTTTTGCTTTGGTTTGTCATCTACAGTACTCTGGAGTACCTCAAAAATGTGTTTATTTCAGGTATATTTTAGTTTTAAATATATTTTAAAAGTCTGAAAATTTTGTAGCTACTCGTTAAGACCAATTGGGTTTTAATGTTGAGAGCTCTTGCTGCAGAAAGATTGTAAAACTAATTTTGCTAGTTTGTTTATTTTATTTACCAATTTGTTTATATAGGCACAGTTTTCTGTGCTTATATATGCACAGCACAGTTTTTGTGCTGCATAAAGAATTACTACAAAGTTAACAGCTTAAAGCAACACAAATTTATTATCCATAGTTTTCATTGGTTAGCCAGTCTGGCATTAGTCTTGTCCCATGCTTAGAGTCTCACCAAGCCAAAATCAGGTGTCACCTGACATGTGATCTGATCTGAAGCTCAGGATCTTTTTCAAGCTCATTCAGGCCATTGGCAGAATTCAGTTTTTTGCAACTGTATGCCTGAGGTCACTGTTTTCTTACTAGATGTCAGCTTGGGCTTACTTTCAGCTCCTTAAACATTCCTTAAGTCCCAGCCAGGTATGTGGTCCTCTCGCAACATTGCAGGTTACTTCTTCAAGGCTAGCAAGAGAATCTCCCCAGTCTGCTCAGATGGAGTCTTGCTACCATATGTAATCATGGCAGTGACTATCCCATCGTTTTGCCATTTAATGGAACCTCATCAAAGGAGAGACTATCCTGTTGTATTTACAGGTCCACCCACAATCACAGGGAGGTGATTGTACAGGATGTATACCCAGGACCAAAATTTGGTCATTTGGCTATTTTATTCCTACTCTAGAAAATGTTAACGTTACAATTTCATTTTTGATTTTTACTCTGTCTGTAGAGAATGGATTGTTACCACATTGATTGATAGCTAGCTATTGGATATAATAACTCAGGAGAAGGAGATAGTGGTCAAAGGGGGTGGTTTCATGGGAAGTTAAGATTTAGTGTTGCTAAAAATGAGGCACCTTTTAAATAGTCATCCACAAATCTTTGCCAGCCTTATTATCGGTCTATATAGGAATTTGCATCTCTACTAGGCATAGTTCAAAGAGTACGTTGAGATTGAGACTGAATGTCTTTTTATTTTTGGAATTTTTATAGTCGTTTTTCTCTTGAATAGCGCTATTCTTGGTCTTGAGACTTTTTACATTTAAGTTCTAGGTTCTGGAGGTGAGTAACGTTTTGGTCTCTCCTTTGTCATATAGTTCATAGACTTCAGCCCATGTTCTGAGTAATAGTTGTTGTAGGCATAATTCTAAGATGGCCTTCAAGATTCTGCTCCCATATGTGCTGTACAATCCCCTCCCCTTAAGTATGGGTGGGGCCTATGAATCCAAGGGGATGGTCACTCCCTCATTTAGGCCCTGTTATATAGCAAAGGTGATGGTATAGTCACTCATGTGATTACACTGCATTGAGTCAGACTCTTTCCCATAGTAACAGGCTAGAGAGAGATTCTAGTGCTGGCTTTTGAAGAAGTGAACTACCTTGTTGTGAGAGGGCCACATGGCTGGGACCTGAGGATGGCCACTAAGAGCTAAGAGCTCAGGGCAGCCAGCAAGAAAACAGCTACAACTGTAAGGAACTAAACTCATCAACAGCCTGAATACACTTGGAAGAGGACCCTGAGTGCCAGAGGAGAATACAGCTGGGCCAAAATGTTGATTTCAGTCTAGTGACACCCTGAGGAGAGAAGCCAGCTTCACTGTGCCCAGGCCTCTGATCAACCGAAACTGGGACATAATAAATAGGTGTTTTAAACCCCTAACTTTCCAGTAATTTATTATACAAGCAATACAAAACTGATTCACTGGCAGTGCTGGTAACATTGTCAGGACGGGGATGCTTTTCCTTGTGTGTGTGTGCGTGCATGCGAGTGTGTGTGTGTGTGTGTGTGTGTGTGTGTGTGTGTGTGTGTGTGTAGCAAAACCTGGCAACACCAGAGCTACTTTGGCATTCTTCACATTTATGGTCCAGACATAACGTATGATTCAACACTGAAGGATTAAGGGAATAGGTTCTAGCTTATGTTCTGGTTTCCCCACATTTGTTCTCAGCTCCCACTATGTGACTGAAATAAAACATCTAAATATTGTAGAACCAGAGAATGACTATAACATTTGCTTATAACACCACCAGGAGAAACTAGTTAACCTTTAGCAACTTATCTTTATTTAATTTGCACACTCCTACTTTCTTCCTTATTTTAAAAGCCAGAGTTGTTCACTGGACTTACTCTCTCTAAGAAAAGACTGCTTGTCTGCCTAAGTCTGATGTTCATGTTGTACGTACTGCGGCCACCGTTCAGAAGGAGGATCTGTGTTTGGTCACAGCTATGATTCAGCTTTGACCTCAGCACATAATTAACCAGAACTGACTTTCCACAATGACAGAGCAGAAAGCTAGTACATGTTATAGTTTGAAGTCAGTAAAGTGCTCTTTGACCTAAATATCTTTCCTGATGGTCTTGTCAGGTTGCATAAAAATCCAACATTATTCACTCCCTGTCCTAAAGAAAGAATACAACTATCTGACCAGGAAGGTGAGTCATAACTCACCAGGGTCATCTATCAAGGACTATCCTAATATTTTTTATATTTTTGGTTTATTATTGGAGTATATACTACATATGTATATATGTAAATACATCTGTGTTTTAAGATACTAAGTCTTTTCATCATAGTATCCTGGCAATTCACATGGGCAGTTGTTTTCATTGTTTTTGAGGAGGTATCCATGAAGTAAGGAATGACCACGTATAGCTCTGAGACCGAAGGTCAAGAAGGCATTGAACACCCAAAACAATGAGATAACACATTGAAAACTACTAGCACAGTACATGGCACGTAATAAGTGTTCCTAGATGTAGTTAAATAAGTGAGTAAACAAACAAAAAAATACAGGCATATATATATATATATATATATATATATATATATATATATATATATATATATATGTATATGGCACCTCTGGTCAACAGCACACTTTGTTGCACATATTTTATAATATTAGGATAATGAATTTTTAAAGCTAGAACTTTTGGAGAATGAATTCTACATGGATCGGAAGGAAGATCAGACAGCAAAAGTCTGTAACAACCGTGTTTCATTGAGAAGTGCAATAGGAAGAATACGTGGGGATAAGAGGCAACAGGGGGAAATTAGTTGCCTAATAAAGAGAATGGGATAAAATTTATTTAATAGTTGGAAATCTAGAAAAAGACCTGAAATGCCCACATCTATTAGTCTTATATCCCATTTGGGAGAGGAGCTAAGATGTGGTGCTGATCTGTTAGAGAATATGTATATGTGACTGTTAAAAATCCTGTTAAGTTATGCTAAGTGAAATAAGTCAGAGACAGATAAATGTCATATGATCTCACTTATGGGTGAATCTAAAGAACAAAATAATCAAACAAACCAAATAGAAACAGACTTATAGATACAGAGAACAAACTGATGGTTGCCAGAGGGGAGAGGGTGAAAACGGTGAAGGGATTAAGAAGTACAAATTGGTAGTTACAAAACAGTCACAGGGATGTAAAGTACATCATAGGGAATATAGTCAACAATATGGTGATAACTATGAATAGTGCCAAGTGGATACTGGACTAATAGGGAGATCACTGCATAAATTATACAGTTGTCTAACTACTATGCTGTGTATCTGAAACTAATATAAAATGACATTGAATGTCAACTGAAACTGAAAAAAAGTAATTTAAAAAAATCCTGTTAAAATATGAAGTGATTTAAGTCTTTGTTTGCACCTAGGCCCACAGTAAAAAGGGCTTGTAAAGACCAACAAGGATGTGTTGAAATGACGAGATTTAAAATCGTGCTGAAGGCCCAGAGTTTTTGATCCTGGAGTCTCTCTTGAAATTGGTGGTCATACAAGAGCTAATAGGATCTGACATCTGGATAGTAGCAGTATTTCAGAATAACCAGTACTGATGTATAACTGTCTCTTCAAATCCAGGTTGTTCACTTCCAGGTTGATGAAATACAAGCTTATGACAAGCTCATCTTCCTTAAATCCATCTGTCTTAGTCTGAATTCTAACTTCAGTGAAATTTCTTTTGTTTTTTTATGTAGACACATTACCTTCCAGTCTCACTTCTCTTGTGTTTTCGATTGATTTTCAGTTCATGTACATTTTCAGATAAACTCAACTTACAAATGACTCATACCTAAAAATGACAATCCCTGCTTTGCCAACTCTGGTCCTATTGATGGTAAGGGAAAAAAGACAAAAAAGTAGAGATTTTTAAAAATACACAGTCTTGAAATAAAAAGAATGGAAGTTCTTTGAAAGCAGGTACAAAATAGGGATGCTGAGCTCTAAGCAAACTGTTCAGCAAAGCCAAACAATCTCTGCAATGAGCACCTTTTGTGTTGTGCTTGGGTCGCACACTCTCTATCTCTTTTCTGTTTCATGGCTGGAAAGCTTGAGATATTTGGCTTTCTGTAGACTAAGTCCAGAATCAGTCTCTAGTACCAATCCCAAACTTGGAACAGATGAAAAGCACTTGAACATCAGATTCTCATAATCAGCATCACCACTTTTGCTATTGGTCTTACTTAAGCCTTGTGATCTGGCTCACTTTTGCTATATTGTAGACACCTAGTCCTGATGAGTTTTACCCTTGTAGTAGCAAAATTCTCCATCCAACTTCCTGGACTTATGTTTATATCTCAGTCATTTTGCTAATTTTCAATCTTCACATCTTCTTTCATTTGTCTGCTTATAAGGATCAGAGTCCGGTCAGTATATGTGTTTGGTAGATGGGGTTAGTTGCCAGTAGATGGCTGCCCAGTGCTGCCAGTCTTCTTGGACTATTGACTGTTGCATTTA